AACTTTTGTTGATTTTCCAAAGCTTTTGATACCGTGAGCAGAAAAGGTGTGTGGCAGATTTTGGAATGGTTAGGATGTCCCCCCAAGTTCCTCAAAATGATCATTTTGCTTCGTGAGGATCAGCGCAGCCAAGTCAGATATGGCAACGCACTTTCTGAGCCCTTTCTAATTACCAATGGTGTGAAACAAGGCTGTGTTCTTGCACCAACTCTATTCACAATGTTCTTCAGCATGATGCTCCAAAGGGCCAAGGCAGACCTTGATGAAGAAAACGGTATCTACATCCGATATCATACCGATGGAAGCCTTTTCAACCTAAGGCGACTGAAGGCCCATACTAAGACCTTAAATCATCTTGTCCGGGAGCTGCTTTATGCTGATGACGCCACCCTTGTCGCCCACACAGAAGCAGCTCTGCAGCGTTTAACATCCTGCTTTGCAGAGGCTGCTGAGCTTTTTGGGCTGGAAGTCAGCTTGAAGAAGACAGAAGTTTTCTACCAACCTGCACCTCAGGAAGTCTTCCATCATCCTCACATCATCATTGGCGAATTAGAGCTCAAATCAGTTCAGCAGTTTAATTATCTGGGAAGCATCATCTTCTCAGACGGTAAGATTGACAAAGAGACAGACAACAGGTTAGCAAAGGCATATAGAGCTTTTGGAAAACTCCATAAAAGAGTTTGGTGTCATAAACACCTGAAGAAAAGTACAAAGATCAGTGTTTATAGAGCCATTGTGCTGTCTACTCTCTTATATGGGTCTGAATCATGGGTCATTTACCTCTACCACTTGCGACTCTTAGAACACTTCCATCAGCGCTGCCTCCGTACAATCCCAAACATCCACTGGACTGATTACGTGACTAAATGCGTCTGTTCTTGAACAGGCAGTGGTTACGAGTATTGAGGTCATGTTGCTGAGAACACAGCTGCGTTGGGTAGGAAACATCTCCGGGATGCAGGACTACTGCCTCCCTAAGATCATGCTCTATGGCGAACTTGCCACTGGCTGCCGCAAGAGAGGAGCCCCAAAGAGGAGATACAAGGACTCCCTGAAACAATATCTCATCTTTGGCCATACTGATTATCATCATTGGTCTACTCTGGCCTCCAATCGGGAGACATGGAGACACACTATCTATAACACTGCTGCTTCTTTTGAGAACACACGCAGAATCATTCTGGAGGAGAAAAGACAACGCAGAAAGAATCGTGTCTTGCCAATACCACCTAAGGAGATATTCCGCTGTGCCTTTTGCAACTGGACTTATCTATCTCACATTGGCCTTTTTAGCCATCAGTGCGTGTGTAGCAAGTATGGATAGAATCCTTCTCAAATCTTCGTTTGCGAAGTCTAGCCATGAAGCTACCAATGCAGACCACAGCATTGTGAGGGCTACTATGGAGAAATGAATTCCGGCTCAGCCAGATCCACCACAGCTATTAATATAATTATTAGAATTGATAAAAAGTTTTCAGAAATTAAACCTTATTTTTTGTTTTCCAGTTCTCCTCAGCTGGAAATTTTCCCTTTTCCTAATCCTTCAGTTCTCCTTTTCTAGTAATTTACAACGGGAAAGCTATCACTTGTAGTTAGGAATAGCTTTTCATGATCAGAAATAGCACCATATTAAAATATAAACATTCAATCTATACTTCTTTAAAAGCCCAAGAATTACACATATGAATCCTTCCTCTTATCTGAAAAGGGCTGTAATTCATCATTACTGGTCCTATTTGTATCTGATGGTAGAGCTGAGAATTTCTTGAGTGAAATAGATAAAATTACTTTCAGAAATGGAGGAACAATGACATTGACTGATTCTCGAGGACTTTTATTCTCACTACCCAGGACATAAAGATAGAGGTGAAATCAACATAATTTATTCTCGTGGATGCTTCTGAATTACTACCTTAGGCTCTCATGGCTCTCTCTCCTGTGAATCTCATCCCACACGGGAGCATTCAGGGACCTCACATTCCTGGTTCTGCACAGAAAGCTTGGAAAATCAGTGGCCATTGATCCCACAGAAGCTGCCACGCTCCTGAAATTAATGTCTTGGTAGAAAAGCCTCAGAGTCTTCCGCAGAAAACTGAAGGCGAGTAGGGAAATCTCTGATGAAATGAAGAAATCACAACTACAGTAGCTGATTAATGGCAATATCAGGGGCTTCAGCATGCAGGATCTCCACTCTACCTAGGGATGCAGGTAGGTATACACAGCCATGACACAATCAATGTTGCTGTAGCTGGGTAATATATACAACAGCAGCTACCTAGGTTATCGCTACGCAAGCTGAGTAAGGTGCACTCACAACTCTGAACTTCAATGCAAGAGTACCTTTCTGATATACTTAGGACATTGTTTATTACTTAATGAAACAAAAATTGACAGATGTACAATCTGCATTTGTTTACAGTTCTCATATTTTTAGTGCAAATTAAGCATATTCTTCATCAAGGCATGCCATCAGTTGTATTCCCAGAGGAAAATAAATTAATAGAAACAGTTCTTATTTTAAATGCTGATTTCTTGTCAAAAAGATGGCATGACATATCAACTCCAACAAAGTCAGCTTCTCTGATTAGCTTATTTTGTTCCCTCCCCCTCCATTGTAATATCTGATTGACTTAATGGCTCACTTAATAAAATGGAAGCAATTAAACTTCTTTTTTTTTCTTTCTAAAGTAGCTATCACAACTGTTTAGTTAGGAATTATTTCTTGTTAACGTTAATTTTTGCATTCCTATTCCTATACTTCAGTCACTGGTTTTGAGCTAATGACAGAATAATATTCAGAGAAAAATGGAAGTGATTGGGTTGACTGAATGACATAATCTTCATTTCACTAGATCTATTCTGTACTGATAAGTAGTATATTTATAAAGCAAATGGCTTTATAAATAGGAGGAGAGACTACACAAATCCAGGAACATAGATTCTTAATTTCATGGAATGAAAAGGGATCGAAATATTTGGCTGTGAAACAGAAGTAGTAGTCATGGAGAAACTAGTACCTCTCCATAATTAGAAATTATGAAATTCACATTCCCAGTGCTTAAGAAATGGTAAGCTTTACAGATCAACAGCTAGACCGAACTAAAAGAAATACTTCACTCCTTTCTTCTTTTCAGTGCAAGGACCATTGACTACCTCTCCTGAAATGTCCCAAGAAGCCTTTTCATTGGTGTTATTTCATGCTTTCAGACAGATTTTTCACTAAAAGTTCATTTCAGATATATTTTGTTTTGTTATTAGGAAGAGAAATCACATAGTATGTCCCAAAAGAGTGCACTGAGATAATCTATTTTATTACTATACTGTGATTTTCACAAAAAAAGCATCAGAAGTTATTTTAATCTACTGAATAATGATGGCAAAAATAATTTAAAAGAGATTTCTTAAAAGGGCAAACTCAGCAAACAGTAAAATAAAAAAATTTAAAAATATAAATAAGTCAAAATATTTGAAGTATTATCATTACCAAGAATCAAAGTTTACCGGAAAAAACATTTACATACTACTACAATTATAATGTTAGAATCAGGACTGGAAATAACAAAGCTACATAACACGTTCTGTAAATTTCTTAGTTGACTCCATGCAATGGCTTGCATTATGTTGGCAGTGCTATAGCTATCCATCAGATAATCCTAAGAATTACTGTTATTTTACCTAAAACATATGGGGACCATATTACACATTTAGGAATTAAAAGTACATTGCCAAAGCATTAGTGCACATCTCTTGAAAAAGTCCATTCTAACCAGCAGACATGATATTCTATATATATATGCAAGTTTCTACATACTATTTTGTACCTTCTCTCTTAGACATTTGTAATTTTTCAGTTAGAAATTTGGAACACAATAATTATTGATCTGACAACTCCTAAATTGCATAGAATAACTTCCTCCTCCTCCCCACCTTTTATACTTCCTAAGCACATGTGAGAGGAAAGGATAATTTTTTTAGTTAGTGATCAAGATTCAAAAGAGAAAGGGAGAAACAGTTTACAAAATTAACCTACATTTGCAATATTTTACTTGTTTTACTTGTACTTACTGCAAAATTAAGTACTTACTACATCTTATGAATTTGTCAACTAGATTCAGCTGTAGAGGTATTCCGGGGGAGGTGTTCACTGTCTCAAGACAGTGGGATCAAGACAACATAATTTATTTTACAATAGTAGATTGGCCTTTGTAAAATAATGACTTTGAAACACTGATTAAGGTGCAATTCAACTGCTGTTTCTCTTCTTTCTAATTTAATTCATCTTATGTTGAAGAGTTGTACATTATATTATAAAAGAAGAATTCAAATCTGAACACGCTCTGATGACAGAAAAAGGAATACAAACCATCCTTTGCAATTAGGACATGCACCACGAGAAGGTACATTAAAATTGCATTATCCACTGTAACAAAGTGTCCTCCAGCGTATCTGCAAATTCAATTTTCTCCCATTTTCACATACTTTTAGACTGTCAGAATGAAGTGAAGTAGTTTTAGCTTCTAGGATTGAAGTTTGACAACGGTAAAAGTGTCAAAAGTTTTCTTCCAAGATAACCTTAGATATTCTTGGCAGCTATAGGTACTGAACTCCCTGAACTCAAGTTTTATTCATTGATTTAAGGACAACTTAGCTTTAGTTGTAATGTATGTCCCTTTGGAAACCAACACTTTGTTTCAATTTGGTCACAGTCTAACAACTGATTTCAACATAAAAAATATTTTGTTGACAACGTTTTTTCCCATTACAAAATCATTATATAGTTATTAGCATGAAACACATTATTTTTATTGTCATCCAGATGTCTTCAGAGATAAGGTATTTATGCTTGGTCTGACCCCTAAATTCAGAACATTATGTCCTTGTAGCATTACAATAAAAAAAAAAGGTGGTTAGGAATGCCTTTTAGATGACTTAAAAGAAAAAATAACCATGTAGATAAAGAATGAGTAAACCGCTTTCATTTGTTCTGAACTCATGTATACCTGAACGCATAGCATCTTTTTGAATGCTTTCATAATCATGCCAGTCCTTCCTTTTTAAGCCATCAGTCCAGGTAAAGAGCTGTCCATCTCCCAGCCCCAATGGAAGTGTCTGTGGAAACAGTAAATAAACAAACAAATAAATATAAACATACATATGTGTCTTGCATTATTACAGAGGAACAGTCAAGCAAATAAAACATTCAGCTTATTCAATGCAAATATTGAAACTTTACTGTGTTAAATGAAGTACCTTGATTTTTTCCTTAAACTACCACTCATGCAAAATTGGAGTTATATTTACTCTGTACCTTGCAATGTTTCCCTTTAATTTTTTTTATTTTTTTTAAAACTTGCTGTTGAGTTATTGGTATTTACACAAGGTCAAAGGACTGCATCAAAGGCACAGAGCAAAGAGATCCCCCAAATGCTTTCAAGTCCCGTAGATCTTTCTTCATGATAAGTGATAAGGGAAAAAAACCAAACACACACCACCACAAAATACCCAGAAAGAAAACCCCATATGACATCTAGTTGGTAAGCTGACTTCCTCTTTCCAGACTCCTGATTCTTGGGTAAACCTAAGAACTGCCTTTTGCTTCTAGGTGAAATTATCTTTCTAGAGCTTTTATTTTCATCATTCTTTCTGCCAAATGCTAGTATTTTTATGAAAAATAAGAATCGAAAAGTCCCATTACAAGTACATGAAATGTAGATCTGTAGGAAGTAGTACAAAGCTGCAGCAGGTTTCAAATAAAGTTAGTCTTTTCTAAATGCTTAATTTACAAAAAATATGGTAAAAGTGGACAAAATTTGACAAGCAAAGAAGATGACTGAATCAGCAGGTTTGAATCAGCGAACTGTTCAGAATAAAGAGCAGACATATAATGCATGTTAGAAACATCGCTATCAAAGTTCTGTGAAAACACACTCGAAAAGCAGTTCCAGGGACGCAACATCTGATCAACCTTCTAACAGGAAATACTGAAAGCTCTACAAAAATCTTACGCATATGTAACAGTGATACTTTGCCCTTCATGTATCAAGTCTGTAAACCCAAACAGCATTGGACTCACCCATTTGCCATTCCTGATTTTACACTACTGGCTGCACAAAACTGGATGACACTCACTGCCTCGAAGTGAAATTGTTCCAGCATGCTCAGTTAGGGTTTCTTTTTTTAGGACAGACAAATATTTGCCAAGCTACATGGTGCAGATGTGGTCGCTAAGCCATCCTTAAAACTGAGGTACTAAGGCTTTTGAATTTGTAAGCAAGAAGTGAGGAATGCCAGGCATGACTGGTTACCTTCAAGCAAAGGATGCTAGACATCCTGGCTGACAAAGATTCATGCTGAAAAGCTCTGCTTTGGGTCAGATGAGAATGTTGGGTATTCAGGGCAAAGTGGTGTGAGCTCAGTGTCTACAATAAAGCCCTGAGATACCAAGAAAAATCCATCACATTCTGCTAGCATGACCTACATTTTTTTAGTCTTAATATCAAAGGTAATTTATGTTACATAATGCCAAAATGCAATCCAGTCTGTGGTTATTCTTCTATTTAAACTTTTGCAGAAATATTCCAAGAAAACACTCTGTTGTCTCTGTATGTTAATATAATACAAGTCAGAGATTCACACCTGGAAGAATCAAAGAACTTAATATATCCTGATGAAAATATTTCAGGTTATCAAAATATCTAACCTTTCATGTTCTTTAAATGAACTCACTAAATTCAGTAATTCTTGAGTTCAAACAATGGTAATGTTCTGATAGTAATACGAAACTGCTTGTTTTTTAAAGTCAGAAGCATAAGGTAGGACACAGGCTGCAAGAGCGTTAATCATGATTCTGTAGCCCAAATTCCTAAAATCATCTACTCTGAAGCAATAGCTGGGTCTTTAAAAGGCAAGCCCAGACAGATTCAATTAAACTTCTATCTCTTGTCAGTATGGGTACAGCTGGTGTCAATCACTTGGTCCCAAAAAATCAAGACTATCAAAACTATCAAAAGCAGGATAAACTTTACTTTTGTGAGCCTTTTTTCCTATGCTGGCTTCTTTCCCTAAAACCAGTGATCTAAATGGCAAGTCTGCAGGACACTGAAAGACAGCTGAATAGTAGAGTTTAGAGGTTTCTGGTTTGTCTATTTGCATTTTGATGTCATTACTCTTTAAAAGTATTGATTACACGTAGTTACTTTACCTGATAACATTTACAAGTCTAATGTACTAGGAGGCTCTCTTGCAAGCATAATACAGTTAAATAAATACATCTACTAAAATTAATATAGCAAAAGGATAAATATACATCCAAATATTGTGCGATACACAAAAACCTCACAGAAATCATGCTGTGGCTCACATTTTGGAAGGGTAACAGTGCCCTAAGAGGACACAAGAAATGAACAAATCTAAAACCCTTGTGTTGATGCCATCATAAGTCCCTGTTTAACAACTGAGTTTTGTTTGGATTATTGAGATTTTTTTGTTATAAGTCCCTTAACTCCCTCACATCATACCATGGTGACTTTTCAGCTCTAACACCCTTTCAATGTTAGGGGAATTAAATACAATGCTCTCGCATGTCACTTCTTAACGCTAGTATTCAGGCAGCATAATCTCAATAAGGACTGAACATCGTGACACTTAGAGGGACTGGACTTCATGAAACTCACCCTGCGTACACACTAGTTTTACCTCTGCAGTGAGCATGGAACAGGGATTAGGAAGGGGTGTCGAGTTTCACAGCCAAACTTTCTGGAAAGAGCAGGAGTTTTGCAGTGCAAATTCTATAGGTCTGAAGAGATTGGAACTGCCTTCACTCCCTTGTCAGCAACTGAAGGATTGTTTTTCTTTTTTTTGCTTTCCTTTTTTTTTTTTTGATGTTGCTGTATTATTTAACAAGATACAAATGCACTTGAGAAAACGGATTCCTCCATTTCACTTCTGCCTAAGGGTAAACAAATTGCATTTTCAAAGACCCTAAAACACAGTTTCTGGAATGTTTTAAAACTGCTAAAAGGCTCCACTGTAAAACTCTAAGTATGCTCACATGCCTCTTCTCCAGATGATAATGACTAGAAGAGCTCCCATTTCTAAAGCATTTCTAGCTGTCAAGGAAGGAAAAGAAAAAAAAATTAATAAAAAAAATGTAATATTCTTATTCTAGTTCTCCAACTTTTTGGATACATTGACAATTTAAACTATATTCTATCTTGCATTAAGTTGTCGGGGCTGATCAGGAGGGCTTTAAACTAGGTTTGAAGGGGGAAGGGATTGAAACTGGGCTCTCCAGAGAAGAGCCTATGGGTGAAAAGCCTGAGTTGAGTTAAAACAGCAGACCAGCTGAAATGCATGTACACCAATGTATGCAGCATGGGTAACAAACAAGAGGAGCTGGAAGCCATCGTGCAGGAGGAAAGCTGTGCTGTAGTTGCCATCACAGAAACGTGGTGGGATGACTCGCATGACTGGAGTGCTACCATGGATGGCTACAAGCTCTTTAGAAGGGACAGGCAAGGTAGGAGAGGTGGAGGGGTAGCTCTATATGTTAGAGAGTCTCTTGACTCTGTGGAACTTCAAGTCAGTAACAATAAGGTTGAGTGCCTGTGGATCAGAATCAGGGGGAAGGCCAACAAGGCCAACATCCTGGTGGGAGTCTGTTACAGGCCACCCAACCAGGATGATGAAGGTGATGAATTATTCTACAAGCACCTAGCAGATGTCTCAAAATTGCCAGCCCTTGTTCTCGTGGGTGACTTTAACCTGCTGGATGTCTGCTGGGAACTCCACACAGCGGAGAAGAGGCAGTCCAGGAGATTCCTAGAGCGTATAGAGGATAATTTCCTGCTCCAGCTGGTAAATGAGCCTACCAGGGATGGGGCCCTGCTAGACCTTCTGTTCACAAACAGAGAGGGGCTGGTGTAAGATGTGGTGGTTGGAGGCTGTCTGGGGCACAGTGACCATGAAATAACAGAGTTTTCAATACTCAGGGATGCAAAGAAGGCCATCAATAAAACCTCTACACTCGACTTCTGGAGGGCAGATTTCGGCCTATTCAGAAGACTGGTTCAGAGTGTACCCTGGGAAACAACCCTTGAAAACAAAGGGGTCCAGGAGGGATGGACATGTTTCAAGAAGGAAGTCTTGAAAGCACAGGAGTAGGCTGTCCCAGTGTGCCGAAAGGCAAGTCGGCAGGGAAGATGACCGGTCTGGCTGAACAGGGAGATTTTGAAGGAAATTAGGGGGAAAAGGAGAGCCTACTGGTTATGGAAAAAAGGGCTGGCTACTCAGGAAGAGTTTAGGAATATAGTTAGGTCATGTAGAAAGAAAATTAGAGAGACAAAGGCACAACTTGAACTTAATCTCGCCACTTCTGTGAAGGATAACAAAATGTCCTTCTACAGGTACATCAATAGCAAAAGGAGGGGCAAGGAAAACCTCCATTCTTTATTGGACATGGGTAGGAATATAGTTATCAAAGATGAGGAAGGTCATCTGGGGAGGTCCCAGATGACTGGAAGTTGGCGAATGTCATGCCCATTCACAAAAAGGGTCGGAAGGAGGACCCGGGAAACTACAGGCCTGTCAGCCTGACCTCAGTGCCCTGTAAGGTTATGGAGCAGATCATCCTAAGTGCAATCACACAGCACCTACAGGATGGACAATGGATCAGAGCCAGCCAGCATGGGTTTAGGAAGGGCAGGTCCTGTCTGACCATCCTGATCTCCTTTTATGATCAGGTGACCCGCCTGGTGGATGAGGGGAAGGCTGCAGATGTGTCTATCTGGACTTAAACAAAGCCTTTGACACCATCTCCCACAGCATATTCCTGAAAAAGCTGCCAACCCATGGCTTTGACAGGGGCACTCTCTGCTGGGTTAGGAACTGGCTGGAGGGCCAGGCTCAGAGACTGGTGGTGAACGGTGCTGCATCCAGTTGGTGGCCAGTCACCAGTGGTGTCCCCCAGGGATCAGTGTTGGGCCCAGCTCGTTTAATATCTTTATCGATGATTTAGATGAGGAGATTGAGTCCACCACCAGCACATTTGCAGATGACACTAAGTTGGGGGGGAGTGTTGATCAGCTGGAAGGCAGGAGGGCTCTGTAGAG